GTATACGTAGTTTTCGAGAAAATCGGAAAAACGGTATAAACAAATTGGCGGCTGACGAAAATACCGAAAACTAAATCGATCAAGAACACGCCACTGGGGGATTATTATTAGTCTAGTGGGCCCCTATAATCCCTGAAATTTTGATCTTGTTAGAGCCGTTGCACACACGCCGGAACCGGATAGACGGTACCGGCCGTCCGGCGATGAGGTGCATAGTATATTATGGGAGCTTTCACACGAGCCGGCGCCGGACAAGAATCGGATTCGCGCCGGGTTTTCACCGGATACCACCACTGCCAGCACGGTCGCCGGACGGCGCGCCGTCCGATAAGAATTCGTAGTATTACATTGTTTTAGATTGACGCTTTCACACTTGTCCGTCCTAGTCGCCCGGTTTCGTTCATATGAGAGAAACATTGCGTTTCGCATTATTGGAAATTTGTACGTTGTAAGTTAACTATAGCGACAGAAAGTGGTGTTTTGGAAGTAGATACTAAGTTTTTAATACCACTTTTTGAAGCCAGACCAGTCCACTGGCATAAAACCTTGTATTCATTAAAATACAAAAACGAAAATGTACGGAGTACGAATACAAGTATGGAGAGAAATTTGCATCAAACTGAAAGATGATTTTCCTTGCTTTTCTTTTCTAATAACGACAGCGACGATTCAAAACCACAAAACAATAATATGTTCACGTTCTATACCGTCTCGTCGAGCGTCGCGATCAAAAATGAAATTGAACTGGCTCAAGCTGGGTGTAAAATCGGACTAGTGTGAAAGGTTATAGTGAAACCAGGTAGCCGGTGCCGTCTATCCGGTTCCGGCGTGTGTGCAACGGCTCTTAGTATACGCAGTTTTCGAGAAAATCGGAAAAACGATATAAACAAATTAGCTGCTGATGAAAATACCGAAAACTAAGTCCATCAATAACACGAAACTGTGTGCTTCTAGTTAGTAGTGATATAAATCATGACCTTTTTTTTGTTGTTTCTGTCGATATCATAGTAACCAATTGTTGCTAAAGGTAGTAGTGCTAGTACTATCATAAATAAATTAGTTTTTTATTTTTTTTTTAATTTTGGTTACATTAGTATAATTTATACATATTTTATAAAATTACACTAGGCGTGTCAATTTGAAATTATAATAATTAATCCGATATAAAAATATCGGTAATAATTTATTAACATAATGAAGCATACTTCGTTTTAGTACTATATAAATATTAATAAAATTCTCCTGCAAGAAAATGTATGATTATTTCATATTAAGTTAAGTCACCCGACGCCACTGGCCCTTCGGCTATGTTCGGCAAATCGGCCGCTATCTTTTTGCTGCGATTTTTTCTAATGGTTTTAAACTTATTAGAATCTATTTTGTATCATCAATATGACACATCATTTATTACATCCAAGTTGTTTAATTTCTAGTTATTTACAGGCAACAATAGTTTTGGTTATATGTATTAAAGTACTACCATGACGAGTCTTATAGAACAATACACGTCAATGGGAGATAGAGGTAACATTTTACCTACTTTGATTATAATGTTTGTATCATAGTTTCTTAAAAATATCAAGTTAGTAGATTAATAGCAATTTTAGACGCTGGCAAAGCAAGTGTCGCTGGCAACAGTCGCAGTTCTGAGAACGGGACTTAAGCCCCGTTCTCAGAACAGCGACACGTCAAGAGGACCAATGAGATTTGTACAAAATTCAAACAGCTGTCAATTTTAAATTTAGTACAGCTCCCATTGGTCGTTTGAAGTGTCAATCAGTGTCGCTGTCGACACGACGCAGTTCTGAGAACGAAGCCCCGTTCTCAGAACTGCGACTGTCGCCAGCGACACGTCAAGAGGACCAATGAGATTTGTACAAAATTCAAACAGCTGTCAATTTTAAATTTAGTGCAGCTCCTATTGGTTGTTTGAAATGTCAATTAGAAATACTTCAAAGTTAATTAATGATTCGTAAATTCAAACAACTGTCAATTTTAAATTTAGTACAGTTCTCATTGGTTGTTTGAAATGTCAAACTGTGTCGCCCGCGACACGACGTCGTTCTGAGAACGGGGCTTTAAGCCTGTACTAAAGTGTGTACTTAGAGCTGTACTAAATTTAAAATTGACAGCTGTTTGAATTTTGTACAAATCTGATTGGTTCTTTTGTCGTGTCGCTGGCGACAGTCGCAGTTCTGAGAACGGGGCTTTAAGTGGTGACGTCATATTGCGGAAGGTCAGTGTCGCAAAATCTAAACAAAGCATGAATTAACCCGTTTTTTTTTCGCTTATTATTATATTACTGTTTTCTTAAGGATAATTGTATTTTTCCAAGTAAGTACATTTAATTTTGAACCATACCAGTGCACTTTATAGTTAATAAATTCTATAATACTATGGAAATTCGTGTTTCTTATTGTTTTAACATAACCTCATATTACTTATCCCTATATGTATCCTTTTATGTAATTATACCTATAGTAAACGCTTATATACTTACTCAGAAAGACACAAATATCTTTTGAACAGAGTAATATAATAAAAAATTAAGAAAAATTAGATTATCCCATTATATTCTTGCTTTGTTTGGATTTTGCGACACTGACCTTCTGCTACATGACATCACACTAATGGAGCGTATAGTCCAAAGTGTGGTAGAGGTGGGAAGTTTAGTTCACTTTACTGATTTCCATCTTTCAATCTCGTTCATTAAAGTGAATAGTTCAAAGGACTAGTTCGTTTAGTTCATTTAGTACACCGTTGAAGATGAAGTGCTGTTTTACCGTCTTAAGCCCCGTTCTCAGAACGACGTCGTGTCGCTGGCGACACAGTTTGACATTTCAAACAACCAATGGGAGCTGTACTAAATTTAAAATTGACAGCTGTTTGAATTTTGTACAAATCTCATTGGTCCTCTTGACGTGTCGCTGGCGACAGTCGCTGTTCAGAACACGTCAAGAGGACCAAGAGGACTTCATTTCACAGCCATCGCTGACGCCGTTTTTTCTCGATCATACCGTAGTTTTTTCCTAAAGCCCCGTTCTCAGAACGACGTCGTGTCGCGGGCGACACAGTTTGACATTTCAAACAACCAATGAGAACTGTACTAAATTTAAAATTGACAGTTGTTTGAATTTTGTACAAATCTCATTGGTGCTTTTGAAGTGTCGCTGGCGACAGTCGCAGTTCTGAGAACGGGACTTTACGTTAAAGATGGAATTCCAGCGCCGGCTAAGGATTTAGTAATTGTTGTTGATATATTCATGCTATACAATGTGTCCCAGAAATAAGTGCAAGTATTTTAACTGGTAGTATAGGTCAACCCCAGAAACACGCCTATGAGGTTTTTTCACGAAAATAATTTTTTGAAAAATTTTTTCTAGTTTTTAGTTTAAAAACATAATTTCTTGATAATATGGCCACATAGGTAGTAGATTAAATTTAAAAGAAAGAACATCCAGAAAAGATCCAGTGGTTCTCAAAATTTGAGCAAAATCATTTTTTTGGAAATTTTCAAAGTAAAATAACTCCGTTATTTTGGCTTTAATAGGACGATAAAGATAAAATATGTTTCTTTTATCGAGATCTACCACCCATTAAAATTCTTGCACTTATTTCTGGGACACCCTGTATAAATAAAGTAATAGGCGTCAGAGGTAGAGGTCAGAGTTGTCTTTGAAATGAAGATCGCAGTAATTTTATATATAAAAACTAGCGTGTACCCGCGACTTCGTTCGCGTCGAATTAATCATTTCTAATGGTGATGATAAAGCAAAGCAAGAATTTTCATTAACATACAAACTCACAAACTGGATAAAATTTTCTGACATTTATGTCAGCATGAGAAAAAACAATCGAGAAACCCCTCCTTATCGAACTTCTACACCCCACAATCCGTTTGCCAAAAATCAGTTTTAAACGTCAAAAGCAGTTTAAACAGAATGGTGATTACTCAATGGTCATATTTTATGAAACATCCTGTATAAATTTTTAAAAAATCTTAAAATATGTAAAACAAAATAAAATATACGTGTTTAAGAGTTTTTCCGAAAAACTCACCGGTTTTTAAATAAAAAATATTCTAATATTTGAGGGGTGGTTTCACCCCCTTAGAATTCGAGTTTCGAGAAATCCCTTCTTATCGAACCTCTACAGCCTAAAGTCAATCCGTTTTCCAAAAATCAGCTTTATACGTCAAGCGCTTTAAGCAGGATCGTGATTAGTCAATGACCAGATTTTTCGAAACACTCTGTATACATTTTTAAAAAATCTTCAAATATGTAAAAAACAAAATAAAATATACGTCCATTTCGTTCACTGACCTATTTCGATCTTTTCGATCTCGATCAGTAGAATAGTACAAAAGAAATTTTAGGTCGTTTAGTTCATTTCGTTCACTGACCGATTTCGATCTTTTCGATCTCGATCAGTAGAATAGTACAAAAGAAATTTTAGGTCGTTTAGTTCATCTCGTTTACTGACCGATTTCGATCTTTTCGATCGTTTAGTTCATTTCGTTCACTGCCCGATTTCGATCTTTTCGATCTCGATCAGTAGAATAGTACAAAAGAAATTTTAGGTCGTTTAGTTCATCTCGTTCACTGACCGATTTCGATCGTTTAGTTCATTTCGTTCACTGACCGATTTCGATCTTTTCGATCGTTTAGTTCATTTCGTTCACTGACCGATTTCGATCTTTTCGATCGTTTTGTTCATTTCGTTCACTGACCGATTTCGATCTTTTCGATCTCGATCAGTACAATCACAGATAACACATAATCCAGATGGCTCCTTACGTGCTAAAAATTGTCACCCCAATTTCACTCCAATTTGGAAAAATATTGGAGTGACGTTTGAATAATCTGAAATTTTTAGATTCCTTTTCTAACTTTTTTGGGAGGTTTTGCTTCTCTTGCACAGATGTCGCTTGCACTTCAGTTGCGTGGTTGCCAAACGTTATATCGAAATATATTTCATTTCATTATGAATATATAAAAATTAAAAATTATGTAATTTATAAACATGAAATAGATATGGATGTTAGGTAATACCGGATGTTAAATTAATATATAAATATTTAACTTAATACGTACATTATTATTTTATTAATTTATCGTCACACGTCATTTACCAGTTGCCTAATTACGAAAAGTTTCATATGATATTAACCTCAAAAATGATCTTTGAAAACAAACAACAACAAATAACTCAAAGAAATAACTACATACTACATAATAATAACTGATAATAATGACTTTTAATGGTATAAAGGCTGATGAAGGTAATTATAAACATTATTTTGAGTTTGTTTAATAAAATATAGGATACAATATAACTAAGCAAAATCAAACAGTTTTAGACAACCAATACAAGATTCAGAACTCGGCATCGCGATAAACAAGTAAAATTGTACATTCAGGAACTCGTTTAAATATTATAGGTAAGTAATATTTTTACACAAAAGTAAACATAAAGTAATATAGAATATTACCTGTGATAAAATGTTAATTAGTGACGTATATTTATTCTAATCACATTTAAATTTAAACTCAAAATTTTCATAAAGAAAATGATAATTTTTCATAGATATAAAGTAAATAATATTACATATTTCAGGTTGATTGAAGAATAATCTACAATTGATTAGAGCCTATGACGATGCGAAGATAATTAATCACCTAACTTTAAGAAACCAGCCTAAAGAAGTTTACATGCATCTCATCTAACCATTATAGGTAATAATTTACAAAATTAGTCATTTTTGATTATAATATTATGGTACTTAGGTACATTTTATCTTCTAGATCAGTAGTGATTTTCATAATTTGAATGAACTCACAGATAGCAATGGGGCACCGCACTGAAGCAGTATTACAAAATGTGAAATAAAACTGTAGTACATATTGCTCTATAAAATTTAATAGAAATAAATTTATTTATGAAAATTAATGAAGTTTTATCTTTCCTAGGAAAAAAATAACAATTATATTTTGAACAATTAATTTAGAACATTAGAGTTAAAAAATATATGTGTTAGAAATTGTAACACATATTTTTTTAACTCTATGTTATTCTAACTTAGAATAACATATTTTTAATAAAATTGCGCTTATACTTTATACTTTTTTGCTATTATATCAATAAGAACTAACGTAAGGAGCAATTCATTTATACTATAAACACACATGCATATTTTTTGATCTTTTTAAAACCAGTGAATAATGTTGAAATATGCTACACCTATAAATTCTTATTAACTAACTTTATAGCTAGACAGTTGAAAATTTTACAGATAATGTATCTATGTTGCCGCTATAAGAACAAATACTAAAAACAGAATTAAATAAATGTTTATAAATAAAAAAGTACTTTCACTAAACATTATCGTTTAAGTAAGAATTTTACACAGAATATTCAAGTCCTCGAGTGGCCGTGTGGTTAAAGGCATAAAATAATTAACTAGAAAGAAGTGTCAACTCTGTGTTAAATCGTGGAAACACGATACGCCAACGAAAGCCTTCGTTGTCGTCTGGAGAACTAACTTTCCAATTGACAGGTTGACATGATAAGGACATGATGGCTTAATTTTCATTTCCGTTTCCGGTTATTCAATGGCGGGCCCTCTTTCAGTTCAAATGTATTTTGTATTTTTTCTTTTCATAAATAAAACCAAAAAATAATTTATTCATATATATTTATTTGAAGTATGGAACAACGTGACTAAATAAACATAAAAATATAGAGGATTGTATTGTTTCAATACCAATTAGTTAATTATATGTACTTTTAACGTAAATTAGTTAAGGTATAAGCATGACTTACAGTAATTTGTAAATAAACACACGTATTCGCAGACTTCAAGGACAGAAAACGGACACAGGGACATGAAAACGGGAGCCTTATACAAAAACCTGAAAACAGAAAAACAAATTTTTTTATACTAAAATTAACAATCTAAAAATATCAATAGGTATAAAATATAAATATACTGTTTAAAAAAGCGTCCATTATTCCCAAAGAGACCTGGCTTATAAATCAAAAAGAAGCAAAAAGAGACTTTTAGTCGGATAACATAATCAGATTATCAGTCCGATTTATTGCATTATTGACAATAAATCGCACATATTGGAGATAAATGATGTTGGCTATAGTTAAAAATGATCTTACCTTGCTGTAAATTGTTTCCATTTTCAAAAAAATCGCCGATCAAAGAGATTATAACACCATTTTCTTGCATCTAAAAAATGTAAAAACAGTGTTTATTTACTACCTATTTTTCATATACATGGGACATACCTACTACGGCAGAAACGTCATTTTCTCCAGGATTCTTCATGTAATATATATTTTATATACTTTATTACCTTTATAATTATAAATTTCAGCCGAAATATTAAATTGAACTTCCAAAACGAAACTAAACGGAATGAATTAAAATGGCGTCGAATATTTTCGACACAATTTTCGAATTTGTTCTAGAACAAATCTGAAGTTGTCTCTGAAACTGAAATCTGTCAATTCTAAACTGTGAAGTTAGACAATAGTTAGACAAAAACAATGCTATCTTTGTCTAGGCGGCCATACTTGTCGTGAGGAGAATGACAGGAATGACACTAATGACTGTTTCCAATTTTCCTATTTCACTGTCACCCCCTGCTTTAACCAGGGGTGACAGTGAAACAGAAAATTGGAAACAGTCATTCTCATTCTCACGACAAGTGGCCAACCTATGGAACAGCTTCTGATTTCTAACTATTGTCCGTTCACAGTTTAGAATTGAGAATTTCAGTTTCAGAGACAACTTCAGGTTGTTCTCAAACAAATTCGAAAATTATTCGACGCCATTTTAAATTCCGTTTAGTTTCGTTTGGAAGTTCAATTGAATATTTCGACTGGTATAAATATAAAGGTAATAAAAGTATAAAGCTATATTACATGAAGAATCCTGGAGAAAATGACGTTTCTGCAATAGGTATATCCCATGTATATGAAAATAGGTAGATGAAATAAACACTGTTTTTACATTTTTAGATGAAATGAAAATGGTGTTATAATCGATCGGCGAGCTTTTGAAAAATGGAAACAATTTACAAAAGCAAGGTAAGATCATTTTTAACTATTGCCAACATTAGTTATCTTCTGTTTGATTTATAAGCCGGTCTGATTTGGGGAATAATGTTCTGCTGACTAAAAGTATATTTCTTTGAATAATGGCGGACGCTTTACAAACATTATATTATTTTAGTATTGATGTTTTGTTGTTGGTATAAAAATTTTTTTATAAGGCTCAGGCGTTTTCATGTTCCGGTGTCCGTTTCCGTTCTTGAAGTCTGCAAATATGTGTTTATTTCAAATTACTACAAGTCATGCTTATACCTTGCTAATTTACGTTAAAAACATATACATTAAGTATTGGTAATACAATCTCTTATATTTGTTGGTTTAGTCACGTTGTTCATTTCAAATAAATATATATGAATAAATTATTTTTTGGTTTTATTTATGAAAAGAAAAATACAAAAATACATTTGAACTGAAGAGGGCCCGCCATTGAACCGGAAACGGAAATGAAAATTAAGCCATCATGTCCTTATCATGTCAACCTGTCAATTGGAAAGTTAGTTCTCCAGACGACAACGAAGGCTTTCGTTGGCGTATCGTGTTTCCACGATTTAACACAGAGTTGACACTTCTTTCTAGTTAATTATTTTATGGGTTAAAGGCGTTAGGATTTGAAGGCGTTGAGACGTAGTGAGGCAGGTTCGAATCGTAGGCAAGGTGACTTTTTCTTAATCTTTTTTTTTATTTTTACATATTTTTACATATTTATTTTTACTTATTTATTATTGATTAATACAATTTTTAGCAATGTGTTTCTTCATTTTTTTTTAAATTACTTACAAGCGCATTCAAAATTTCAGCTAAATCGGAAAAAAAGTTTACAATAATATAATGTCTGATGTTGTATAGATAATGTGTGAATGGTACATTCAATGATAATGAACCCTTCGTGCGCGAGTCCGACTCGCACTTGGCCAATTTTTTTTGTTAATTGAAACGTTTAGAATTTGAATATTCGTTCAAAAATTTTTTTTTAATAAATTTATTTATGATAAACAATTTATTAATGAAAATAATATGACCGAATTTCCTGGAAAGTTTTTCAAATTTGTACATATGAAAACCTAGCTTTACCACTTATCATAGAAAATCTCTATTCCTTCCCTTATCACGGAATAATAAAGGAACGAACCATATGCGACAAAGATAGAAGATTTAGATATGTCGTTACTGTCTTTTGTTTTTAACGGATATTTTAAAAGGCGGGTAATTTACCTTTGACTGTCTTTGATTATAACTGTGTGTGATTAGTGATAATAAAATTATTATTAAAATGTCTGGTAATAAGTGCCAATTTTATAATTGTGGGATTTCTCGGAAATCAGGTGTACATATGTTTAAGTTTCCTGCGTCAAGAGATCCTAATTTATGTACAAAGTGGATAGAAAATTCTGGTGAGTTCATTCATATAGAATTTTTTTGCACATTTTGTATGTAAAAATACGGCGTTAAGTTACCTTAGAAATGGTGATCGATGGCTTTTACCATATACCGTATGATCGAAAAAAAACGGCGTCAGCGATGGCTATGAAATGAAGATCGCTGTCATTTGATATGTAAAATTATATGGGGAATGTCATCGACCATCATTTCCAAGCCAATCGGACGCCTTTTTTTTTGGATCATACGGTATAATTTAACACATTAAGAATTGTCCATCGTTATTTCTTTATCTATGCAAAGTTTATGATGGATAAATCAAGTAATTAAGTGGATATAAATTATAAATGAATCAGTGAACATAAACTGTTATAAATTATAAGTAATGCAATTATTGAATATACCATACGATCGAAAAAAAAAACGGCGTGGGAGTGGGCTTGGAAATGAAGCATATATAGATTAATTGAAAGCATTTTATAAAAATATATAGTTATACAGGGTGTCCCCCAAAAAAGTTATACATTAAAGTTGTTTTTTGTAATGGAATACCCTATATATTAATTGATTTTTGGATTCCAGGAAAAAATAAAGGTGTGTTTTATTAAAGAAGCATGTGCCTAGAATGTAAGGATTTTGACATATTTCACATTTTGTGAAAATGAAGAATAAAATTTAAATTTCAATAACAGCTATCTATATTGTAATTTATCCTGTATAGCCTGATATTTAGTTACAATAACCATAATATGTTAAACCAAATTAAAATGTGACAGGAAAAGTTATACAGGGTGGGACAAAACTTATATTGAACATTTATCACTTTGAAAAGCAAGTTACTCCTTTATTTTTTAAATGGAACACCCAGTATATTATTTCCGTGTTCAATGGGGAATTCATATATCTTCAAAATATTATTAAGGTTGCCTACCCCTCTAACAAAGATTTTCCTAGATACTTTCATTTTTATGATTTTGCGTCAGTAGATCTTTATTATTTGAAAAAAATCTAGGTGGCTGTGTTAATTTATCAAAAATTAAAGGATGTAGTATAAAATACTGTAATAAAAACATACGTTTAAAACATATATTAATTATCACAGAATTAAAATTAGATATAAATGTATAATTATATAACAAAAATTTGAATCTAAAAGTAGAGAATCATATCAATTCTTTCTGATGTAGGATAAGTTTCTATTTTCGGAAAATTTCTTAGATTTTTTTGTTTCAACTGACGAACTGACACAAAATAATAACTAGTTGCTAAAGTTGAACTAATTTGACACTATGTTGAAGTAACGTCAGACATA